CCATGTGTGATGACTGTGCCTTACCTGTATGTTGTGTGGATGGGGCATGCCGTGTGTGATGTGCCTTACCTGATGTTGTGTGGATGGGGCATGCCATGTATGATGTGCCTTACCTGATATTGTGTGGATGGGGCATGCCATGTGTGATGACTGTGCCTTACCTGATGTTGTGTGGATGGGGCATGCCGTGTGTGATGTGCCTTACCTGATGTTGTGTGGATGGGGCATGCCGTGTGTGATGACTGTGCCTGATGTTGTGTGGATGGGGCATGCCATGTGTGATGTGCCTTACCTGATGTTGTGTGGATGGGGCATGCCATGTGTGATGACTGTGCTTTCCAAGGCTACTACAGGCTCCCCGTTTGCCAGCGCATTTCTCACCTCAGGGAGGACTTTGATGAGGTCTGAAGAGAACCATTGATGTGTTAAGAATTGCTTGTCAGAATATAGAGGAATCTAAGATCCATCAACATCATCAGAAGGAAATATACTATGACAACATTCAAAGATGGATAAGGGCACAAAACCAGAACACATACTGATGACCTGTCATGAAAGTTCATCTGTGTTGGTAGTTACATGTTTAAAGTTAAAACTTTTGATCCAAAAAGTTCTCTCACCAAGAGATTTCGACTCTAGTGTTCCTCAGTAGACTGACCCAGTGAGGCTTGTCACGTGGCTTCTTTGAAGTGTGATGCCAAAGTATCTGGTAGACATAAGGGCCCATCACCCTTCACTCAACCGCGACAGGGGCTGACATTGTCTACCAGATACCTTTGACCCAGTGTTGACGTCACACTTCAAAGAAGCCACGTGACAAGCTTCACTGGGTCAGTCTACTGAGGAAGACCAGAGTGACTGGTCGAAAGCACTAGGTAACTTTTTGTGTTGGATCTTAAGTTTTAACTTTAAACACATACTGACCTGAAAACCTCCTAGTGACTGGCTGCCAGGTCCCATGTCTACAGGTCTGTAGGAACCTCAGGTGCCGGAACATTCTCACTGTAGAACAGAGATCAACCATGGAACTGTGTATCTGTATCTGTATAGCCCATTTACCACACCAGCTTCTGTATCTGCCACCCTAGGATCTGCTTGGAGATTAGGTTCTGGACAGGTGAGGCTGTGTCATTTTGATGGTGATTTTGGAAAAGGGTTTTTTTTTAAAGTATCTATCTGATCACACCTTAATTTCAGCTGAAGGTGTTCGGAACTGTACATTGTCCCTCCCTGTTTGTAATTTCTCGTTGAAGGAATAGATGGTACAGGGGTCTCCCCAGAAATTCTTAGGACAGAGGTGCTCCCTAATCAATTGAGGAGAAAAGCAGAAAATTTTCATGCAAATGTGAAGAGAAACCCTAAATTTGAACATTTTGGGATGGGTTCTAGGATGTTGGGGAGAGGGGGAGCACCTTTGCTTCATTGGTTGGGGATAGCCCTGATGGTAGGACAACTAGGCCACAACTAGTGTTTGTAGTAGACCAAAGGTTAGTTGACTAGTCTGATGTCCTGCTTGTTCCCCAAAGAGAGTCCAGACCAGATGAACTAGTGTGCAAAATCTGTGCAGTTTGTTGTCATGACATGTCCAAAAAAATAATACCATCATCATTGCTTTTGTACAAATAGTTCTGCATTCTTAAACGTTTAACATCTGTATCCATAATATCACCAGGGTCCATAATAATTAATATCGCCACCTTGAGAAATAGTGTGCTTGAAGATATTTTTACTGCAACATACTTTTGGTATGCACTCCTTCACACATCAAATGTAGTAGGGTATGTTGCAGTAAAAATATCTTTAAGCACACTGTTTCTCAAGGTGGCGATATTATGGACCCTGGTGATATTATGGACACAGATGTTACTTCTCTTTGCATAAAAGTGTGCTGAAAAGTTGTCACCATAATAAATTTGCATAAGTAATAAAAGGCGATCCTTAGAAATTTTGACACTTCTCTTAAGCTTCATTCTTACCTTAATTACTAGTAACCTTGCCCTTGAACTTGAAGTAAACGAAGTTCAGCGATATAGTTTGCGTTATCCTCAATATCCTTGCGTTAACAAAATATGGCAAAAAATTTTCAGGAAAAATTAAAGCACTGTCAACCCACCAACACTATCTGGATAAAACAACAACAACAACAACAACGACTTGAATCATAAAGTCTTGGACTCCTGGAATCACGAACTTTTGACAGGTGTTTTCGGTAACTGCAAAGGGGGTCCCCCTATCGTTTTAAAATTCCCCCCTCCCCATTTTAGCGGGGCCCTTCCGTAGTGTACGTAGCTAGTCATTAGTGAATTCAATCAATTAACATTACACCAGGACGACCCTAGACCTTCACAAGTTGCCATGAAGTCGTACCCGTTCTGATTAAGTCGGTAAAATGTGTTTCCCACCTCACCTGGATCAGCTGGCGGGTGTTCCACATGCAAGGGTCGGCTCGGCTCCGCTCTCGTGCGCAGGGCTGTTTACGTCCTGCAGGGGTCATCCCGGGAACGAGAGCCCCATGCTAGCCAATCAGATTTTCGGAAGAAAGTGGCGCCATTTTTGAAAGTTTCTGACAAGTTTGTGAAGTTCTTCTTCAGGTAAACATGTAATGAAACTGTTTTTCGTTCATGTCCGATTTTGCAATTCTGTGCAGGTATAACTTGATGCAGAAAACGTTCTTCTAGGTTGAAACAAATGTCAACTTGTCAGTGTTGTCCTTGTTCTTACCAAAAGCCAGGGCCTGTCTTCAATTGATTTGAAGATATGATCTATGAATCATTTCATACAATCATCATACTCTACAATGATTTTCTTCTCATGTTGCTAATTTGAATCAACTTGAAGTTGTCTTGATTTTTGATTATGCAACAAACAAGTGTTGAACCAATGTCCTTGGTTGAACGAATAGTTAAATGTTACACAACATGCACTGTATTTTTTTATATTGCTTTGTGTGTATCAATGAGTGTGCAGACATGTTTTGAAATGTGTAATGAGTTCTGTAAAAAACTATAATGTGTTGATGAATGTTTCGAGTGACATCCACCACTCTTCTTCAGCAGAACTTGATACCCTAACACTTTACATAACAATGACCTTATGGACCTTGTCATGTTTAACCGTTTTTTCCAGTTGCTCATACATGCGTTATCGAGTTCTGTTAGTTCAATTGTGATGCTGAAGAAGAGTGGATGGATGTCATTCAAAGAGGGCCTGCAAGCCCTTTTTCGTAAGGCGTAATCAGGCCGTTTTAGACTTCGTAATTCGTAGGCAGCCTCCGCAAAAATCAGCGTAATTCGTAATAGGACATTAGCCGCAAATCGTAAAGTTGTAATCAGCTGTGAGACTTTAACGTAATTCGTAATCGGGGGCGAAAATTTTGCGTAATTCGTAATCACCCCCCCCCCATGCAGGCCCTTCTCAAAATGTCCGGATATTATCTCCGTAATTTATCCAGTAGTAAGAGTTTGAATTTCCTACGAGTATAATGTGTTCTGTAATGTGTGGTGAATGGCACCAGCAATTTGCTCCACCAGAATTGTGCTGTTATAAACACTTCATGAAACATACAGTGTAAGCAGCCTGATTCAGCGATGTAACACAAAGTCTTACATTCTCAATAAAGAAAAAATTCCACCATCTGTTTGGAATTGCATAGAGGTTTATTCTGATGTACCATATCTAAATTCATAAGGCTTTTAATTCAAAAATTTAGTACCAGTATATCTTCACTGCTTTGTGACATAATGTTACAAAACACACAATGCATTTCAAACATGTGTAAATAATTTCATTGGTAAACAACTGAATACCAAAGTTCTTTGATCACAACCATTTATTTTTCATGTGCACTGTGAACTATGTAACACCTGTAGTGCACTATGCACCAAGTAACATCTAGTGTCAGTGCACAGCAAACCAGTCAGAATTGCACTGATGAAGATGACAGACGGTCATCAAAATGCTGGCTCGTGAAAAAGAAATGGTTGTGATCAAAGAACTTTGCTATCTATTTATCTCAAACATGGTTGTGAGACATGCAGAATACAATTATATAAATTGTATACTAGTATATCGTATCAATTCATTTATTTCATCTCTCAGATATACAGAAACACTTTTAAAGTGTAAAGGCAACTTGAAGAAGACATAGGAATGTAGGCAACTTGGTAGAGTTTGTGTAACACATGTACACATGAGGTCATCATGACTGTAGCCCATTGGAGTCCATCTTGACCGGCATTGTTACTGTTAATAAAGAAGTCTTGACACTGAACTTGGCAGCTGCACGTTCCTCGTCGATGCTGTGTGGCAGAGCTGTCTCCAGTTTGTACTTTCCAGGAACTTCCAACACCACATCGTCCTGCACAGGGGGACACGAGAATTTACTGGAAATTTTCTGTATTTTATGAATTTATTGTAAAGTTTGGCACAATTTAGCCTGACTAAATCGCGCTCCTGGCGGCCGCCGCCCTAGGTTGGGGTGGGGGTCATTAACCTCCAGCCGAGAGCTTGTGTATACACAGGCTAGGCACAATTCAACTGTGGCTGCAAGGCCGATCTAACAATAAACCAGTCACTACAGTACTACTACTTCTACTTCCCAGGGACTTCCAACACCATATGGTCCTGCACAGGGGGACACATCATCATTAGATAGCTTTAAACAATGTCTAGAGTTAGATGTTCAAGGGTTAGGTGTAACATGTCGTTCAGTGTAATGTAGCCAGCTGCCGCCGTGCCATGTTGAAGGGCAGTTATCCCGGATATACAGATATAGACATAAGACTTTCAAACTCACGGTAAGGAATATTCTCCAAGCAACGCTTTTGGTCGGGGCTAGAAGTGGCTAGGATTTCTTAGTCTTAGGAGGCCAATGAAAGAAATCCTGGCTACGAGTATCCCGACCAAAATCTCTTCCTGGAGGATATCTTTATTAAGGCCACACCAATTTAATTTGTTGGTTCTCGGATTTTTTCAGAAAAAATATGAAGCAACAGGGCGAAAAAAAATAAAAATAAAAACAGGTCTAGGCATCCTATTATAGGCTTAAATGCTACAAAATGAGCCATGAAGTCAACACAAAAGGCTGGGTTAAAATTTAAACATTGAATTTTGAACTTTTAATCAAACCACTGCAATGATAGATGGGAAAACTGTAACAACTAGGAAGAAAAGGACTTTCCTCAACTGTTGGGGGGCAAAACATGAGCATTTTTCAGTTGATTCAGGACCAGAATCAAATTTTTTTTTTTTGCAAATCAGAAAAAAATGAAGAGGCGAATCCGAGAACCAACAAATTAAATTGGTGTGGCCTAATAGGAATATATACTAGGAACTGCTACAGGATAACTTCCCCAAACATCTATTTGAGGAACCAATAACAAAGTGGTTTCACTCACTCACTCACTAACTATCTGGTTTATCGTCTGTTGTTCCCTGTCATCCGAGGGTTAGACGTGCTTGCACAGCAATACTGGGGCTTGATGGCAGCCTGCCACTTGCCTCTGACGGTTTGATTAACATGAGAGGCAGTTGGCTGAGCAAGCAGCAATCGCTTGTTACACAAATTACATGTTGCTGAAGCATCAAGCGTACCTCTGAGATGTCCAGCTCACATTCCGACACACTCCTGACCAGGGGTAATGTGATCTTCAGCACAAGTCTCCTCGGCTTTGATCCCTCTGCGTCCTGTACAGGAAAAATTAATGCATGATAAACTAGAAAGGTAACACTTGCAAAGCAAATGCATAATGCTTACCTTCGGATACGGTCTGCTCTGTTAATTCTTACTCAAACATATACATGTAATGTTACATGTATATGGTGACAGGAGTCTACATGCCTACTATGAAATTGCTACATTATGTAACCCAACACCAGTTACTATGGTGACAGACGTCAACAAAAGAGGCCATTGGCCAGGTCAGAGGTTAGTGTTTGGAACAAAAGAAATGGAGCCTTCCTTCGGTAAACATAAAAACATCCATGATGACAACAAGTCTATCTATCTATCTATTTCTGTCAGACATGTGTACAGATTTGTGTCCGGATACATATTCATGCACGGATACAGATTTTTCAGAGTATGCTGACCGTGTCAGTCCCCACACCTGAGTGAGGACGCTTGAAATGGTGGCCGTGGATTTGTTTAAGGTGGATAGAACAAGAAGGTTAAGAACAAGTCTATATACACATCAATTGGCAGTTTGCAAGCAATACGGGTAAAAAAAGGATAGCTAATTAGTATCCAAATTTACCTTCACAGTGAGGTGAAAGTCAGGCTTGGTAAGCTGTGTCTCTGTGCTGGAGATCTCCTCTATCAACTTGGTTCTCCCTGGTTTGGGTTTGTCCTCAGACACTAGTGAGATGACGGGCTCGTCCTTGTCTTCGGTTTCCGTGGACAGGTTGGACAGCTGATGGAGGACGGACTGCGGAGAGTCTAAGACGTCACCCGATCCCGCGGGTCCCGAGGGGTCGCTTTTCTTAGACAGCTGCTGGAAGGCCTTGACCAGAGTCTTGTAATCTCCTTTCAGCTTCTCCTCACATTTCACGAACTTTGAGGACGTCGTCAGTTTGTACTGGTGCTGTACATACTCCAGAGCAAGGCTGATCAGCATGTCCTCCGCTGTCCTGTCCTTCGCCACCTCTTGTAACACGGAGGGGTTGAACACGATGGGAACAGCGGCATACAGCCCTGGACAGCAAAAACAGACAGGTTAAAGACAATGGGAACAGCAGCATACAACCCTGGACAGCAAAAACAGATGGGTTAAAGATAATGGGAACAGCAGCATACAGCCCTGGACAGCAAAAACAGATGGGTTAAAGATAATGGGAACAGCAGCATACAACCCTGAACAACAAGAACAGACATACAGGTTAATGACAATGGGAACAGCAGCTTACAGCCCTGGACAGGAAAAACAGATGGGTTAAAGACAATGGGAACAGCAGCATACAGCCCTGGACAGCAAAAACAGACAGGTTAAAGACAATGGGAACAGCAGCATACAGCCCTGGACAGCAAAAACAGACAGGTTAAAGACAATGGGAACAGCAGCATACAGCCCTGGACAGCAAAAACAGACAGGTTAAAGATAATGGGAACAGCAGCATACAGCCCTGGACAGCAAAAACAGACAGGTTAAAGACAATGGGAACAGCAGCATACAACCCTGGACAGCAAAAACAGGGAAACAGTACATAACCTCACCATGTATGTATGAGCAATGCAACTGAGCTGAAGTTCAAAAACTCCTATAAATTAGCCTAACTATTCTTGTACAAAAAATGTACTAGTACTTAGTATTTGTGATGAAGCATATATTGTGCAGGAGCAGGAAAGAGGAATTTCAGGCTGAAAGAAAGCCATCCATTAACACATTAATCAAGCCATTAACATAAAACAGGGAATCATAGATGAAATGTGAAATATAAGCCAGTTAATTGATTTGATTGTCACAAATCTTAACATCTGAATGAATAATGTTACAATGTCCATTCATAACTAGCATTTCAGGTACTAATATTATAATAATATACATGTACATGTATTAACACTGTTGTGTACCTTGTTCATCTGTCCCAGTGGACATCTTCCCACCGCTGACAGGGACAGGGTCCTGGTCAGTCTTGGGAGACGGCACTTTGTCAAAACTGCAGATGTTCAGGTACAGGACTCTGGCATCCTTAGCAGGTCCGTCCTTCTGCAGATGTTTCTGTAAAATTATAGGATGTTTCTGTGTCATGATTTCTTGGAGTTGGACCAACCTCATAAACTTTCCTAGCCTGGGTGCCATCACCAGGGCTCCCATACTAGTGCAGTGAGCCAAGTACTTTCTCCCTGAAAAAAATCATTTTTAAGGAGCAAGTATGGGAGTCCCACTTATAATTACTGAAATAGGATGGCACCCAGGCTAAAATTTTGCTGGCCCGCTACATTACTAGTATGTCCTTGCGAAAATAATTTCTTCAGGATGGTAGGACATAGGTTATCATGATAGAGATTTTCTTCCTCAGAGCTTCTGACTGGAGCTTCTACTGCTTCTCTGGAGATATGAGATACTATGAGGAAGATGTCTGGGGATTGAAACGTATTAAAGCTGGTGAGAAGACAATCCTTATTGTCTGTGTTTTTTATACACGTCGATATACACGTTATACAGGCATAAAAAATCATGAAAAGTGTTATGAAGCTGAATGCTAGTCCTGACACACATGTGGGGCTCGGGTACAGATGCCCAGCCCCGGCGCCCCTTATGTTTGTTTGTTTGTTTGTGAAGTAACACGTACCTGAATGTTTGTCCTGACACACATGTGGGGCTCGGGTACAGGTGCCCAGCCCCACCGCCCCTTATGTTTGTTTGTTTGTTTGTTTAAGTAACACGTACCTGAATGTTTGTCCTGACACACATGTGGGGCTCGGGTACAGGTGCCCAGCCCCGGCGCCCCTCCTCCTTAGCCTGCTGCATCTGCCCGGAGATGAAGTTCCTGTAGGCCTCCGGGTCGGAGTCGGCCAGCTCGTCCAGCATGTCCCAGATCCGCTGCGCCTGGCCCATCGCGGCCTCGCTGCTCACTCCGCCCAGACCGGACATAGCAAGCTGCGGAAAAATAATTTACGATACTTGGAGCCCCAAATACTGACTACGTGCTGAGAAATTATGCTGCTGAGTGCCGACTTGTCCTGGGGCTTGGTGCTGAGTTTTCCTGAACAGGGAGTCAATGGCCAGGGGCCGAGGGAGGGCTGAGTTGTCCTGACAATCAATCAATCAATCAATCAAAGTTTATCGCACAACAGTTGTCACAGGTACAATATATGGCAAGTTCTTCTGAGGTACAACTTATCAAACTGGTATCTACTCAACTCTACTGTCTAATGCTTAGGGAGGTATCCTTCTATTGTACCAAACTTAAGCTTTTCTATAACGTTAATATACTTGTCTACTACTACACTATTTTATAAACGTGATATACCAAGGGCATGTTCCAATGTCCTTGGATATACTAGTTAGTATGCAAGGAACATGGCTTACAAGATATAACATTATACAAGGAACATGGCTTACATGATGTACAGGAAATGTATAAGACCGACAGCGAGCTGCAGCTAGCGGCTGTCCTGTACAGGTAACATATGAAGCCCTGGCCTGCTGGTCCACACGAGGGAACAGGTGAGAAGTTCGGCAGGTGAGAGGAAAACAGGTGAGACGTTCGGCAGGTGAGAGGAAAACAGGTGAGCTGCTCGTTCAGTCTCGTACCCTGGTTACAGCGTGCTGTTGTGTAAACGTCATCAGAAGTGGTGTATTACAGACGTCATCAGAAGTCGTGGCAACGTCATCACAGATGCAGTACACAGTAGTGGGCTAAACCACTTTGTTGTGTGGGGGGTGGAAGCTACCAAACCTACTCAAAACATCCGTTTGTGGGATACTAGTAGCTGAAAAAAAAAGCTTCAGACAACTGAAATGAAGCACACAGAATCGCGGTAACGATGAAGCATACTCGTGAAAGCAAAACCTTGTCGGTGAAACTCTGAAATGTCACAAGTTTGGGGAGAGATCCGACCGGAAACGCAGCCCCTCTCACACCGGAAGTAGCATGGGAGACAGAGTTTTGCAGCCAGTGTGGAGGTTGTTATGTTGTCATCTCTCTCTTCCGAATTAAACACGGACTGGTCTCCAGACTTGGTGTAAAGGTGCAGTTACATCTAGAGACTTTGTGCGACAGAACAACTGCAGTATTTTTAATGCAGTTGCGGAAATTTGGTGTGTGAACGGCTTGGAAGTACGAAGTTGGAGGGAGGGGGGCATTTTTGGCACATATTATTCTAGAGTAAGTTAGAGTAGGTATTATTACCTCCGGGGAAGGAGATATCCTTCCGCGAGGAGGTTTTACTATTGTTCGAAACATTTCTGTCAGCAGCTGTTTCTCGCGATCGGCTGGACGGATTGGTCTGTTGTTCGGTATACGTATTGCTATTGGGCTGCAGATGATGCAGAACGTTTTTGTTTAATTACCTTCGCCAAGAAGGTTATGTTTTCAGAGGCGTTCGTGTATGTGTGTGTGTGTGTGTGTGTGTGTCTGTAAACACGATAACTTGAGAAGGCCTTGATGGATTGTCTTGATACTTGGTAGGTGGGTAGGTCTTGATGAGACCTCAAAATGATTAGATTTTGGGCTCCCTAGCGGCTTGTTATGGTACTGCAGCTGAACTTCCGGTTTTGATATCTCATGATCTAGACATCCTAGGGTGACGAAATTTGGATGGTAGGTAGCTCTTGTGCTGGGAAAGAAGTGACATGATTTTAGGCCCCCTAGCGGCTTGCTCTGGAACTGCAGGGATATATTCTTGAAAATATTCAAAAGAGGATAACTCAAGAACCGGTTGACGGATCGTCGTGATTTTTGGTATGTAGGTAGCTTACGTGATGCTTAAAATAATTATGTGACAATTATGCAAATATGGATGTAATTTGCATAATTTATGGGGAAATTCTATAAATCAGTTGCATTCCATGATAAGACAATTGAAGCTTGTGACATTGGTAATTGACAACGAGAGAAACACAGGCAGATATTGATTATGTTAATAATGACTTAATTTGCATAATTAATGAGAAAATTTTATAATTATGTAATGATAACTGCCTGGAATTTCATACTTGTGGTATTTGAAACTTAAGTTGAGGTGAACATCATTAAACATAATTCATTCAAATCAGGACCTCATTTGCATAATTTATTAGGAAATACTAGAATGCATTGTGTGTTAATATAAGACTGTCTTTTGGTTGAGATTATGATAAAATGATATAATTCATGAAAATTAGGTTAAATCAGGGGGGAATAATCTAATGTATAATTTGTCAGTCATAAAGATTAACATCATTTGGCGAAGGTATGAGATCGGGGAACTCTAGTTGCATATGTGTTGATGGGCGTCGAAATAAAAGGTTTTTAAGTGCTCCGGACACCCCCGTTATGCTGAAAATGGAATTTACCATGTTGTTAAGGAATGGGGAGGTTTCAGTTTTGGGTCTTACCATTCAAAAGGGGTCAAACAGAGGGGTGTCTGGTTCCTATAAAAACGTTGGGTGACGGCGCAGCAATGACGGCGCGGGATGACGGCGGGGGTAATGGCGCGGGTGACGCTGAACGCTGGGTGCAAGCCGAGTCAGCGCTAGATCTTCGTGTCGCGGCATTTATTTCCAGAAATACGGCGATACACGTCAATTTATTTCAAGTACGGCGCGTAGCTAGCATGGCAGCAGCCAGCAGAAGCGGTGGGCGGGCGGTATGCAAATCTTGCATGACGTATCCGCGTTACGCGTCTCTGATTGGTTGTTCGCTTCAGCTGAGATCGCCGGGCGGCAACATGAAGGGCGCGGGGACGCGATTTTTCTGTTTGAAAATATGCACTAAACGCTGTTTTCCAGGACTGCATAGCCACATCTAGTGAAAAAGTGCACAATTAATATAAATTTGGGGGGAAATATTTGTTTCTTTGTCGATTTATGGTGTCGATTTATGGAACCCGGAAGTGCAGCCGAGACCAGCGCGCAGCGTAGACCAGCGTGGCAGTTTGATGTGTACGATCAAAACATAAACAAAACTCCCGCTGAAGAAGGGAAATTATCCTGTATGTATGCATTTCAGATCCCAGTGACTATGTTTACGATGGGAATAATTGTGGATACGCACGATGCGCACGATAAGCCTCAGAAATTTATGTCGCAAGTGGGGCATTCTATAGGCTTGCACGGCCAATGTCTGGCACGCTACGCGGCGTACGTACACTGCTGCACATCACAGCCAGCGATTCAGTGTCTTAAAATATTTTTTAACATCAGTATAACAATATTTTTAAGCATATGTGATCAAATTTCTGTAAAAAAATTTGCACAATTGTAAACATAAAACATGAATAGATCGCTGCTATACTGGGCGTACCATTTCGCGTACATGGCCGGCTGCCCGGCGCAAATACTGTCCCGATTTTTCTCAGTAGAAAACCAGAATAAATCACGCACCCGTAATTTGGCTTCGACCCAGAGCTCCTACTTCAGAGTTGAAACCTCAAAAATAGTAACTTTATTAGAGCATGGAGGTATTATACCTCTATGATTGGAAGAAATATAGTATTGCGACACGTGCATAGAATTTGACAAATGGGGGGGGGGGCGTGGCGCTACCTAAAATTCTGCTGCGCTACCTAGTTTTTGCCCTAGGTAGCACACTGTGCTACTTTGCTCAAAAAAGTATTTCGAACACTGCGTTAATCAACAGTCCATACCGAACCAAACGTCAGTAGCCATCAAACCGGCATACAAACATATTACGCACATAACTTTCATACTACACACAAACAAATAACCTAAACCAATAGAAAAACAAAACCCGGAGGTTTGAAATCTACGATTTCCCTTGTTAGGTATACATTAACTTAAGGGATACACATCGTACGAATATTGAATGTATGCATTGTATTTGAAACTTTTAGACTGTGTCACTATTTTGCAGCCAATACATTTTTTTATATAAGATGATGACAAAATTTATTGTTTTTTTTCTTCAATTTTGCTCTTGATTAACTGTTATAACTTTCAGCAAGGGCATCTTTCCTGACGTCACCATGGCCGGTTGGAGAGGAAAGACGTCTGTAGACAAGCAGCTGCTCAAAAATGTCATCAGGCACACAGAAAGCATGAACAAGGTAATAAACATTACCTGACCTAGTTATGTTTACCGAAGGAAAACATGTTTTTGCTCCATTTCTTCTTCCTCTTCTTCTTCTTCTGTTCCAAACACTAACCTCTGACCTGGCCAATGGCCTCTTTTGTTGACGTCTGTCGCCATGGTAACTGGTGTTGGGTCACATACAATGTTGCAATTTTATAGTAGGCATTTAGGCTCCTGTCACCATATACATGTACTGTATGTGAATGTGTTTGAGTTAACAGAGCAAACCATATCCGAAGGTAAACATGATACATTTGCTTTGCAAATGTTACTTTTCTAGTATTAAATATGTTTTCTTACTGTTTAAGTATCAGTTCAAGGAATAGTGAGATTAAGTAGTAGTACCCTAGACCCTGTGAATTTGCTGTGCTAAAAATGGTAAATCTAGCATTGTAATTTTAAGATCACAGTTTATTATTGAGTGTTATTTTCCTGGCTCTTGCAATACCGAATACACACGGAATCGACTGTTACAAACCCACATTTCTGTTACATCGCTGGAGGTTAGATCTAAGCTAAGGTAGTGGATGCTACCTGAAGGGTCTGACCATCTCCAAGTTTCTTGAGTAACCATCTTTTGGCACATGTCTGTTCCCAGGTCCACGAGGAGTCTGAGATGTGGAGGCAGCACAAGGAGCTGACGCAGAGCAGGAGGAACGACACTTCACCTTACAGAAGGTAGACTCCTCATGTCAGAAATGCAAGAACACTCAGTGTCTTTAAGACCACCTTTTCTTCACTCAGCAGTTAATATGATTTCTTTGTTTAATTTTCCATCTTGCTTTTAGACATTGATATGCAAATTCAGTTTCATTATCATTTATATCATTTGTCATATTTATTTAGTATGTTTTCTGTACTTTGTTAGTCTGTTTTCATTTCTTTTATCATAACTACCTTTTGATTTACCTTTTATTATGTTATGTACATCATACATGTATGTCACAGGGAGCTTTGAATTCGATCGAAAAGCGCCAAAATGGAGATATGCTAAACTGTATAAATAAATAAAAATGAAATGACTCTTCCTAGAGCAAACAGATGAAACTGTGAATGTTGTATGATTGGTGGATCTAATACATCTATTTTCCTTTATTGTTGTTGCCATACTGAGCTCTTCATAGATACATGTATCTACCTTCAGCGTAACACACCAGCTTCTGATATGGTCACAGCTACATGTGTATGCCTGTTCTTAGGGGCCAGTGTTTGCTTATCTCTGACTTAAGTTGAAGAAATTTCCCATGACTCCCTACAACTTTGATTGTGTATCCCTGCCAATTTTCTTGTCAAGACAAAATTATTATTTTGTATACTTGCAGTGGGCGAATGAGAAGTGACAGAAGTGTTGACACGAGCGTGAGGGCGTCTGGGGGAGTTTCTCCCGGCAGCTCCTACTGGACCAGGAAGCTGTACCAGGCAGAGGAGGCAGATCCAGACAGGTGAACTTGTCTTCATCACAACAGGCTTCATCGTCATCTCACCAGTAAACTTCTCGTTTTGATCTACTTTGTTAATGTTTATTTTGCAGTGACAACACTGTAACGTGGCAAGATTAGGTATCGTGAATGAGTGATAATCTCCTGTGGCCACAGAAGCCGCCAGGCCCTAGTCGGCACCCTGGCTCTGATTTTCACCTCTCTGGCGTGATAGATAAAGGGCTTGGTACACAGGCTTCCCCCCCCCAAAAAAAAAAATCTATCGCTTATGAAATGCCAGGGTCTGGCACCCAGCCAACCCTTTTATAAACGTAAGGGTAGGGATTTGTGGTAATGTGATGATAAATCTAACTTTTAGTACAAGAGGTTTTAAGATTACATGGAGGTGCAATTCTAAAAACAATCAGGTTCTTGCTGTTTGTGTATTATTTTGTGCAGATGGGGACACAGTTTTGTGTGTTATTTTGTGCAGATGGGGACACAGTTTTGTGTGTTATTTTGTGCAGATGGGGACACAGTTTCGTGTGTTATTTTGTGCAGATGGGGACACAGTTTTGTGTGTTATTTTGTGCAGATGGGGACACAGTGGCTTCAAGGAGCTGTACCCGGATGCTTTCAGCAGCTCTGCCAGTACCGAGGACTTGGGAGAGAGGAGCAGGAGTAAAAAACGCAAGTCAGTTGCCTAGTTGTCATTCTAAACCCCGTGCTAATCTCCAACCTGATCGTCTCAAAAATAGAGTATCAAATTGGCCAGGCAGTATCCAATTGGCCAGAGGTCCATGCGTGACCCCAGGTGGGGGTTGTGACAAAAAAAAAGGCCATATATGAAAAGCTAACAATCATCCCCCACAACCTCTGCTTGGAGAGTACCCCGTGCCACATCACTTACCATTTTTCATAATTAGAAATAGAAGGCAAAGCATCAATTTCAAATGGTCCTTTAGTGTGATGTGCGGTTACCATTTTGTTCACCATACAAGAAGAAATGCATTGTTCTTTCCAAAGTGTAAGAAATGAACCTAATTTGCAGGAAGATAAGTAGCTGATACAATGTACATTTTCTTCCTACCAGAAAGAAGAAGAAAGCCAAGAAGAAAGATGTGTCCAAGAAAAGGAAACATTCCAGTGACTCGGACAGCTCTGCTCAGCGGGAGAGACGGAAAACGTCGAAGAAGAGGAAAAGAAAGAAAAACAGTGGCGACGATCACGGGAAAACCAAACTCACAACGCAACCTACCTCTCATCACAAAAATGGGCGAAATGATGTACAGGGTTCAGATATTTTTGTACCAGAACGTGCAGAAAAGGACAAGTCTGACAGACATCGTCCAAAACATAAACAAAGCCGCAGGTCTAGGAGAGACCGCAGCCCGGCAGACGCTGATAGTAAACACAGGACAAGAGATGGTAAGGCCAAGACTACGGGCAGAAAGAAGCACAGTGACGGCAGGTAGCATCCTGGTATTCTCCAAGCAGATGTTGTTCAGGTGGCCGCAAAAGACAGTATCAAATTGCAGTCTGGCCAATGGATACTGCTTGGCCAACTTGATACTGTCTTTTGCGGCCAGCTAAACATCTGGTTGGAGATTTGCATCCTGGCAGAAAGGAGAGAGTTTCACAGGAAGAGAGGAGTGCAGAGGAAAAGGGACACCATAGTGCTAATCATTATTTTTTAGCATCATGGATGAAACTGCTTTAGATTGAATACTACCCGGTAATACATTTTTTCATGTGGGGATAAAATGTGTGGTCCTCTCTTATGCTTAAGGAGGATTACGTTATGTATTTCTTGCAACTACATTGTATTCTACTATTAAAGTATTTTTTGAACCAACTTGTTTGTGATGTAAAATGTACCAGTCTTCAAATTCTAACACCCTACCGAGTAAAATAACTCGTACATTGTAAATCATCAAGGCCAGTGTGACATAATAAAACTGTTTATATCATACCCAGGCCGCAATAACACTCGATACGGGTGTTCCGGACAGTACATATAGAATACAACACTGGGTATTCCGTATTGCCCGACCGCGCGTTGGATCGCCCGACGGCCGCAGGCTGATCCGACTTGCGGGAGGGCTGGGACTGAGGGTGATGCTGAATACACCGTGTTGTATTTTATTTATGTCATACCCACCCAAGAAAACGCGCCTTTCATTGAAACATCAGTTCCAACATTCGGATTCTGTATTCGGAATCATTCTATGGAAGCCCGGTCTGGAACCCGTTATGGCAGCCCGAGTATGATATAATTTACAGTATGAAAATCTGCAATGAAGGATATCATCAGGCAAAACAAAAGTAAGAATGAAGGACCAACAGCCATAAAAGACAACACCACGGTTTGGGGGAAAGGGAAGTTTATTTGGAGGAAATATGGATTCAGGTTTGGAACCGGTTCAGTCAATCATCGCTGAATGAAAAGTATTTCGACCTCTTCTGAAAGTCATACAAGGTACTGTTTTCAACAAATAATTCTATCCATTGAAATCAACTCATGGGCACTACTACAGGGTTGTCAAGGAATGGAAGGGGAATTTTTTCTCTTTTTTTGGTTTTGGTTCCACAATTCACACTGAAAAGAGGCTGATCATTCACCACCTTAAACTGAAACAATCTTTCTCCAGCAAAGTAGGTCTAAGGTGTGTAAGCAAGCGGCTTCAGTTCAGTTGGTTTCACTTTAACACTGTTGGAAAGTGGACAGAATGAGACATTCAGTGTTAATAAGGAACAGTTTTACCGTACTTCAAACGTGTCGTCAAATCAGGACAGGGATGTTTTGAGTCGCTGAATGTCTGTTCTGTCCACTACAGAAGTCCTGCTACACTCTGTACTCCACTCACGTTTGCTGCATGACAAGTAACTAACATATAAAGTCAGTAACTACTTAGGAACAGAAATAAGGGTAATTGTTGGCTTACAAGGTCAAGGTACTTGTTGATGCATAAAAAAAGCCATTTAGTCAACGTAAATGGCACTACATAATCTTTGTCTAACACAAGTCGCAACAAGTTGTTCTGTAATGACCATTTAAAGCAAGTCTAGCAAGCCAACATGTCGATTATTGATCACAAGAGGTCTTTGCAACTCCCTTGCAAGTTTGAACAAAATTTGTCGGTCCATTACATGTATATTGCTTGACTTAAACAGAGGTACAAAGTATAGCAGTAACCTGTAAGGGTGCATACACAGGGTGACTTCAATCACGTTATGTATGCAACAATCTGTCAACCAGCACCAGTAAGCCGCTCCCTGATAACAAAGTGTCGTCATCCCTTCTGTGGATGGAGATATTGCTACATCCATGGAGCTAAACTGGTGCTCGAGGACAGAAATTAGATCTAGCACTGATCTTCAAGCGGTAAAGTCAGGTTCGAGTGGTAGCGCAGCGCATTCCTGGTTCCAGTCTTTTAAGTTAGCGAGTAAAAATTTTCATTGCCTTTTTCTTGGGCTGATGCAGACCACCCACACAAGTCTTATCAGTCTATCAGATACCTGAACAATTTCCTTCACACTTTCTCTTACTCTTGCCACACCATTTCTGAACGGACGTCCAAAAAACACAAAATGTCACCAAGAAGTGGTGAGCAAACGTTACACGGAAGCGGCGTCAGAAACTTGGCAGCCGACCAACGACACTTGAACCTGACTTTACTCCTCATCCAATCAGAGATCAGATCTTAAGACTCGCGTCTTCCTGCCACATTTTCTGTGGTAAGAAGACGTTTTTCACCACATGGTCAGCGGAGAAACCGCAGGCTGAAACAGCAGGTATCTCCACTTCCCAACTCCAGCCCAGTCATGGTGGAAACCTGGGCAACACTCAGATGTAGGTTGTTACCTTCACAACAACATGCTTTAGTTTTACCGACCCAAAAATTACAAAGAGTGGTACAGGTCTAAGACAAGACCTCAGTGGGATGGTTGACAACCTGAAGCAAGATGTTACAACTGGTAACAACCAAACATGCTTTCTTATAATATATCCATGATTTGTGGAGACAGTTCAAACTATTGCAGTTCACCTCACTTTCACAGCGATACAACTTTGATTTTACGACGTTGGATTTTACACTTTTGCTACCTGCTTTTACGCAATACACCATGAGAAGAACTGTTCACCACAAATCGTGGGCCGTATTCTTGACAGAGAAACAATGGACAGTACGGTGGTTAACTGTCAGCTCTTACAGGTAATGCACAATTGTCAACCACTCAAGTTTGTGGTAAACATTGGACATGTATAGAAAATCAACTGGCTTGCTGCAGTAGACATTTGATGTGTTTGTCTGTCAAGAATACTCAAAAGAGACACAAGATATTTCCAGTTCCATAGCGAGTATTGTACTTACTAACATAACGAGATGCTGTTATTAAAGCCTACTGAATGTGTGCTGGATGCTGCTTAACAACAAGCTACCACAAGTGCAACAAGACAGCGAAGCGTCTGTCATGGCACATTCGAGGCCCTCCCACCTTGTGTTATATGAGCCAGTGTAGTCGTGGTTTGATCTGTGAGAGACCAAACACACCAGGGGTCTGCCACGCACGGTGAGCTGAGAAGAAATGGGCGGCAGTTTTCCTGCTCTAAACACGGCCCACGCGAACCACTAGAATTTGCCTTCAGCTCGCCGTACTTTCGGTCGTACCACAGAATCACTGACTGATTCCACAGTTTTCACCAATGCAGCCCCTGGACAAGCATATATACACATGTACAACACGCGCCTGTCTGATCTGGCCCACTGGGAAGATGACACTGATCCATTCAGTCCTTCTCCAAGTAACTCGACTTTCGCGATCGCCAAAAGACAGTATCACTCCGGCAGTCTTGGCTCCTGATATTACTGTATATAAGTTTCCAGTGTATTAGTGTGAGCCACCAGTGCTTTAATCTGTTCGAAACGGAGCGAAAGTGTCTGTCTGCGGCGTGTCTTCCAAAGCATCATCAGCCCAGAGGCCAGGACGTGGACAGGCTGGTATGTATATAGGGTACAGAGACATTTACAAGGTATTGTACAAAAATAGAGTTCTACTTCTACATCTGAAGGTAGGGAAGTGCCTTGCCAGTGTGGAACTAATGTTGCCTTGCCACTTGTGCACCGAGCGCGCCGAGGTTACGTCACGGCCCGCTCAACACGCAACGCTTCAACTTTGCTGAAATCAACTACTACAGAGTTCATCATCGTCCTCTAGGCTAACAGTACAGTTTGTTTCACCCATCCGAAGTTTCTAAAAAAAAGATTCCGATAGACAGAAAAAAATACTGCTGGATGACTTTGCTTCTGTGGAGTCGGTGGAAGCTTTACTCATGATGCAAATTTGCACAGCTTCATACTATAGGAACCAAGGGAGATGACAACTTAGCGTGTGCACACAATTGTATAAAAGAAAAGCATAGCAGAGGAACTGGAAATATCTTGCATCGAAAGTTATCAAAAGTTTGACATGCACTTCCAAGGACTCTGGTCCTCCTTCACCTACAAAAACAGGCCAGAATGGTAATCAAAGAGATATGCAAGGGGGGAGACAGGACTTTCTCTCAGCCTTGGAAGTGCATGTCAACGTGTCAAGCTATGCACTAAGTCAGGAAGCAGGCTAAGAATGGAACATTTGCTGTTTGCTGTGTCGTTACTGAATCACCACTCGGGAAGCAAAGTCATCCACGTAAAGCACCAAACATGGCAGGTCAGAGTCACTTTGTGACTCTCAAAATTTACAACATAAATGATTCTAACATATCGTCTGTACAAGCTTTTGGCAAACAGTTGTTACATGCAGAAGTGAGACATACATCTCTGCCGTTTTAGCATTTTGTATCCTGGCAATCACAAGATGTATCACAAACCATGTTTCATCCAGACGTCAGCGCGAGCAATGCCGCCTGACTCTAAAATATATGCCACTTTTTCATGTAATAGTTGCACTTCGCATTTTTAGAACTCCCTCATAAAAAGAACAACGAAAGAAAACGAACAAACGAAAAAAGCAACAACTGAGAAGTCCCCTGCATGAAGAGGAGGGATTGGTCTCTCAACACTGAAGGGTCGATCGGTCGTGTGTCTGCCAGTCTGGTTCTCACTTCTGTTGCTGGGTTTGCTCCTCCAGCTCGCTAGCTTCTGAGTGGTACTCGGCCACGTACAGACTCTTGTCTATCACACCTGGGATGGGCTTGATCTCTGTATCCAGTTCTCGCTCAATCTTGTGAAGGTTGTACCTACAGAAAAGGGACACGGCTGTTAGTCCTTCTTCATAAGGCAACCAGGTCAATGGAGGTCAGAAAGTTTTAGGGGAGAGGTGCTCCCTCATCGGTTGATGTCACAAAAAAATAAAATCAGCGAATTTCATGAAAATACTAAGAGAAAATCCTAACTTTGAACCATTTGGGGAGGTGCCAGGATTTTGGGGATTCCTTCATCACTTGGGGAGAGCCCTTTGGTGATACAGGCGCCGGTTACCAAATTAGTAAGGATAACATGTTTCCGAGGATCATTATGTATTCCGTAAAATTTGCATGTTTCTTTGTAATATGTCTTCCTGAACACTAAACTGATGAGCACAGGGAGGTCCTTAAGGAACGTGGGAGGACTCAGGGTGCCCATGGCAAGAACCTCCAGACTGCAGAATTCATTCCTGCATCACACTATCAGACTTTATAACAGTCAAATGCAGAATTAGTTTTTTATGTGTTGTACATATTGTCATTGTCGTGAATCTGTATGTTTTGTTTGTACCTACGTTGTATTTTCATGTACTACTATGTAATGGTCAGCACAATTCAGCGGTCCATAATTTGTTACGTACTGCTGCTATGCTGACCACTGTCTTGAATGAAGAATAATAATAAAGACTAAACCGTCGCCCACCTGTCATCGTAGGTGATGAGGTTGATGGCGACTCCCAGGTGACCGTAGCGCCCGGACCGGCCGATGCGGTGCAGGTACGTCTCCGCCATCTTGGGGAAGTCAAAGTTGATCACAACGTTCACGGCCTGGATATCAATGCCTCGAGTGAAGAGATCTGAAAAAGGCAGCACGTAGAGAAGTTTATTCATATTCAAAATTACTGGTTTGGCTGTTCAACACTCAGGGCAGGCCTACTAGCCTGTGGCTACTGCAAACGGCTGCTGACAAGACGAGACGAGACGAGCCAATCAAATCTGACATGGAAAACAAGCCAAGAGTTACCACAGCACTGTCATGTAACGTCCTGAACAGTTATAAATCCACGCTACATAATGTTCTAGAGTGCCTGCTACCGACAGGTTTGACTGTAGGGTAGGACAGGTGTGACATCTACCAGATACCTTTGACCCAGTGTTGACGTCACACTTCCAAGAAGCCATGTGACAAGCTTCACTGGGTCAGTCTACTGAGGAAGACCAGAGTGACTGGTCGAAAGCTCAAGGAGAGATTTTTTTGTGTTGGATCTAAAGTTTAACTTTAAACATGTAACTACCACATGAACTTTTGTTTTCCTGTAGTTTGTGTGCTTACCAGAGCATACGAGATTGTGGCAGGCACCGTTGCGCAAGTCGTGGAACCAAGAGCTAACAGCACTGTCATGTAATGTCCTGAATACATGTAGTTATTTGTACTATCATGAAAGTTCATCTGCGTTGGTAGTTACATGTTTAAAGTTAAAAACTTTTCTTCCAACACAAAAAATTCTCTCACCTAGAGCTTTTGACCAGTCACTCTGGTCTTCCTCAGTATACTGACAGTCGAAACTCTAGGTGAGAGAATTTTTTGTGTTGGAACAAAAGTTTTAACTTTAAACATGTAGTTATTTGTGTGCTTACCAGAGCATACGAGATTACGGCAGGCACCGTTGTGGAAGTCGTGGAACCAAGAGCTACAACAGCACTGTCATGTAATGTCCTCAATAGTTATCCATACTACATTATGTCCCGAGTACCTGCTACCGACATGTGCAGGTTTTCCTGTAGTTTGTGTGCTTACCAGAGCATACGAGATTGCGGCAGGCACCGTTGCGGAAGTCGTGGAACACGCGGTTGCGGTGCTGCTGGTTCATCTTGGCGTGGATGTAGTAGCAGGAGTAGCCCAGCTCCGTGATCTTCTTGGCCAGCAGCTCCACACGTTGGGTGGAGTTGCAGAAGATTATGGACTGATTGATTTGTAACTGTGAGAGGTGAAGAACAGAGGGATGCACATCAAGGCTCTACCATTCCATAAAGATTGCTATTATAATAGATATTCCTACTTTCCTTTAAACAGTAAGAGACTGGAACTCACCTCCACAAGACAACACAGAAATTACTGAACCTACCAAGTTTAATGCAACAGTAATCCAGCACCTGAGAGAATAATAAGGACTCATCCCACTCCCTCTCCCTGAGCACATTACTCCAACTCCAGCTCAGTATCACTCTAGATCAAGATGTTTGCTGCCGTCAGTCCAATTGTCCAACCTAAAGGCTATTATCTGGTGTCCACAATAGCTATCAATACTACATAATGTCCTCAGGTGTCTTCGACATAAAAATTCAGCAGTGTGACTAGTTACTTGGTGACAGTAAGTGATACAGTTACAGATCAATCGTGGAACAAAGATCTCATCTTGAAACCTCCAGTCGTGATTGTGCCATCTCTGAGTTGCTAAAAATTCAAATACCACCTAGAACCGGTATTACACAGTTAACACAAGACACAGGTAAAGAATGAAGGCCTACCTTGGAGAAGAGGGTGTTGAGACAGTGGACCTTCTGGCGTTCTTGCACAAAAGCGTAATATTGGGTGATGCCCTTCAGCGTGAGCTCCTCCATCAGGTTAATCTCGTAAGGTTTGTTCAGGTGACGTTTCTGAGCAGAGGAAAATACATAAAAGGTAGAGATTAGGAACTCTTGCTTTTTGAATTACCGGATTGCAGCTGCTGGAAACAGAGGCCTTGGCAGACCAAGGAAAACCTGGATAGAGTGTTAAAACTTAAAATGGACATCAAAGTGTGGGGCCACAATAGCTGAAGACCAGCTGCACACCCGCAACAGGGACCACTGTAGTAATTAAGTCTTACACTAGATACTACTTCTACATTTATGTATGTGAAATAGCAACTTTCTCAAGGTTAACAGCAAAAACCAGACTAGCAACGCCTTCAGAATAATGACAACAGCGAGACAGAACTCCCGTTCTTTTTCAAAATGCAGGAACATGGCTGAGAACAGCAGGTTTCAGAACAATGACAACAGTAACAACTCCTGTTCTGCTTCACAGTGTAGAGTGGTGAGTGTTTTACCATGAACTGTCCTGAAAGTTCATCTGCGTTACATGCTTCAAGTTACATGTTTAAAGTTAAAAGAGGGGTGAACGAGGCTATTTACATCAGGGCGCATCACTCTTCACTTAACCGCGACGGGGGCCGACATCATCTACCAGATACTTTTGACGTCACACTTCAAAGAAGCCATGTGACAAGCCTCACTGGGTCAGTCTACTGAGGAAGACCAGAGTGACTGGGCGAGAGAATGTCTTTGTGTTGGATCAAAAGTTTTAACTTGAAAGTTTAAACAGGTTTACCATGAAGTCCTTGACAGAGAGCGGGAATGTGGCTGAGAAGAGCAGGATCTGCCGTTCCCGGGGAAGGTGACCGATCACGCTGTCCAGCATGCCTTTGAAGTCCTGAGACAGCAGCTTGTCACCCTGCCAGGAACAAAAAAAGTCGTCAACAAACTTTAAAATTTTCAGAGTTAAAACTTTACAATGTGTAGATCCAACACAAAAAGTTTTCTCACCTAGAGATTTCGACCAGTCACTCTGGTCTTCCTCAGTAGACTGACCCAGTGAGGCTTGCCACGTGGCTTCTTTGGAAAGCTAACTTGGTCAGTCTACTGAGGAAGACCAGTGTGACTGGTCAAAAGCTTTAGATAAGAGAAGAAGTTCTTTGTGTTGAATCTAAAGTTTTCACTCTAAACATGTAACTACCAACACAGATGAACTTTTATGATAAAACTTAAACATTGAATTTTACTTGATTGTTGTCCACTTTTTATTGCTTTACTAAATGTAACCATGTCTTGTCCTGAGTAAATGTATGCTGGGCTCCATTGGAAAGCAGCTTCTACTAGCTAAATGGGCTACGTTTTATGATGAAATAAATAAATAAATAGCTACATCAAGCTAATAAGTTTCTCTTTTGAAGAAGCTTCACTGGCTGCAATTTCTTTTACTTCCTGAAAGCTTTTGTTTCAATCATTCATGTTTGATGCATTTGTGCAGCACTATAACAAAACAAATACAACATTACGTGATTGTATAATAATATCAATCAATCAATCAATCAATCAATCAAAAATGGTTTATTGCTAAAATCAAGAACATTGCAGCATAAAGCTGAATTGCGTTCTAAGATGTACATCCTGTTTTAAAAACTTAACGACAGCACAATCTTGGAGTCAAGATGTGGTAATAGAGTTACACATTAAAAAAGTATTTACACGATATTACACATATTTAGCATAGTGAAATTCAAATTTTTTCATTCACATTAGTACTGTACATTTCAACATTACATTAAACTATTTCATATACAAATTGCACAAGAGAGGCATTTACAGAGTTACGAGCACTATCATTTCATTTCGTTCAACAGTCTTAAGAGGGACGGTAGAGGGCTGTTGTTACATCTTGTTGTACGTGTGATAGGGAGAGTCCATTTTGTAGAGTTTCTGAGTTCACGTCGGGTCGACTGTCCCCGGGTTGGAGGTAGCAGATCAGCGGTTCTCTCCGACTTCTCCATGCTGACTGCAAACCTACGGCACAGGTTGACTCTCCTGTTCTCCAGTGTTTCAAGACCACACTGTTGTAGAGCTGATGTATAGTTAGTATAGTCATTTCCAAGGATGGTACGGCAGGCACGTTTTTGTACTTGTTCGATGGTTGCTGTCTGTTGTCGGGTGAGACTGTGGTGCCATACCGGTGAGCAATACTCTAAGACGGGTCTGATAAAACCACAGTATACAGTTACTAAGTCAGGTACAGGAAGACAGAAGGTTCTCAGCTTTCGCAGAATGAACAAGCGTTTGCTGGCTTTTTTAGTTGACTCACTGATCTGTTTGTTCCACTTCAGGTTTGATTGCAGCCATAACCCTAGCACTTTTGCAACATCCACAGACTTAAGAACAGTTCCATTCAGGGTTATGGGCAAGGGTGGAGGAGGGTTCTTCATGAAACACACTGTCAGAGTCATGCACTTGTCCGGTTGAGCTTTAGTCCAGCGTTCCCTGACCATTCCTCGAGAGAGTCTACTTGATTCTGGAGTTGTGACTGTTTACCCACGTGTCTGTTCTCTCCCAAGGACAAATCGTCCACATACTTCCAACGATCACTGTGCTGTTGGCTAGCGTCGTTATAGCGTAATATATGACATCTAGTTACTATTCTGATAATGCGGCATGATTCTGAAATACGAACTGTGCATGTCACCCCACCAGAAAAGATAGAAAATAAATACCTCATCTAAAACGAGCATTTGGCAGTGGTCCATCTTTGCCACACCTTTCTTCATAAGGTCGAGGATTCGCCCGGGAGTAGCGATCACAATGTGCACTGTGGAAAACAACGGCAACCAGGACTTAGCACAACAGTCGGTCTTCAGCTAGAAGATTAGGAGTTTACCACACACCCAATGCAACAAGGAAACCATGCATTATACTTATAGATAGAGGGCTTGAAATACTTTTTATCTGCATATTACCTATACTGGCAAATTTTACCTGCACCGCCTGCAATTTGGTAACCGAGTATGTATCATAATAAAAACTATACAGAAACCATTTGAATTATTTGTTTTATACTTCATAGGTGGTTACTATCAATTCAGCAAATAAAATTCCATATCATAAACCCAGTACATAGACCACTGCAGGTTAGGTACAGGTAGACATCAGACATACCTGCACTAATCTCCAAGCAGATCTTTCGGTGGGGGGAAGACGGTATCAAATTGGCCACCTTCGGTGGGGAAATGGTTAAAGACTGGCCAATTTGATACTGTCTTCCCCCCACCAAAAGATCTGCTTGGAGATTAACCTTCACAACTTAAATTTTACATGCACGAAGGTGCATATACCCACTAGTACTTCCAGGTTGCAGGTGACTCACCAGTGTCGTATAGCCTCATAATGTCGTCCCTGAGGCTGGTGCCGCCCGTGGTGACCATGCATCTGATGCCCAGGTGCTTTCCTAGAGCAGTGGCAATGCTGCTGGTCTGCAGGGCAAGCTCACGTGTTGGCACAAGTACCAAAGCTAAAGGCACAGGGAACAGGTACACTCACATTAACACAAGTACCAAAGCTAAAGGCACAGGGAACAGGTACACTCACATTAGCACAAGTACCAAAGCTAAGGGCACAGGGAACAGGTACACTCACATTAGCACAAGTACCAAAGCTAAAGGCACAGGGAACAGGTACACTCACATTAGCACAAGTACCAAAGCTAAAGGCACAGGGAACAGGTACACTCACATTAGCACAAGTACCAAAGCTAAAGGCACAGGGAACAGGTACTCTCACATTAGCACAAGTACCAAAGCTAAAGGCACAGGGAACAGGTACACTCACATTAGCACAAGTACCAAAGCTAAAGGCACAGAGAACAGGTGCACTTACATTAGGAACTTACAATACTTCATACCAGAAACAAGTGGTACTACAATCATCAGTAAATGGGACTACATTAGCTCAGTTATGGTTAACAATAGATGTTGTATATAACAACTTTTGAACCACACATCATATCTCACTATGTTGTAACAATATCTATGTATGCCACAATTTCTTTGTTTGAGACCGCATTGTTAGCAGTTACATGTAACTTCAGTCCTGATGAAGATGACAGTCATTGAAACGTAGGCTCTGTTAAACAAGAGATTGCAGGTAACGAACTTTGCTATCGGTATGTAATGAATTCCAGTCAGTCGACCAGCTTGTCTCACCTTGGATATGCTTCTTATCTACCTCCACCCTCTCGATCACTGGAATGATGTAAGCACCAGTCTTCCCAGTCCCGTTTTTGGCGCGGGCTAACACGTCTCTCGCCAGCAGTGCGATGGGGATGCTCTCCTCCTGGATCGGGGAGGGTTTTTCCCACCCCATCTCGAAGATGCCCATGAGGAGCTCCCGCTTTAAGCAGTAGTCTTCAAACTCGTTTCCCTTCGTAGCAGTGACGTCCTGGGGGAAACAGGCAGGAGGAAGGAAGGAATGGTTTATTCACATTTTACTTAGGCCACACCAATTTAATTTCTTGGTTAACAGATTTTTCTAGAAAAATAATGGAGCGGGCGGGCGAATAAAAATAAAAACTGGCCTTGGCATCCTATTATGGCCCAAAATGGTACGATAGGAGCCATGAAGTCAACACACCAGGCTGTTTCAAAATTTAAACAATAAATTTTGAACTTTTAATGATACCATTGCATTGAATGATGTAATAACTGTAACAACTAGGCTGAAAAGGACTGTTTTCAACTGTTCAGGGCAAAATATGAGCATTTTGCAGTTGATTCTGAAGTTTTATTTTTATTTGTAAATCAGAAAAAAAATGAAGCGGGCGAATCCGTTAACCAAGAAATTAAATTGGTGTGGCCTTATAGTAGAAGCTTCGGTCGGGTAGGACGTCTGTCCAGTTTGGACCTCTCCTTCTTACTTCACGTCTAGCCAACTGTCATGGTGAGTTGTGGATGGTCAAGTATCCTGAAATTGTATTTGCTGGGTAGTACTCTATGTGTACTTATACCAGTCAAAATACCAAAACTTTCATGACAAACCTCTTGCGAAAAAGGCCGAACAGACCACGAAACAACACTCAAGTAAGACAAAAGGTGCGACAACAGGAAATACCAAAACTTTCATGACAAAAAACTTACTGTTGTTCTTATTCTCGTATCTTTTGGAGGCACCTTCAGACTTTTCTTCCAGTCCTCACCAGGCCTGTCAAAAAAAGACAACAGTTAATGTTCAAATAGTAAACATTACACCTGTGAACATGAGTGAAAGAAACACAGGAGTTTGCTATATTTTATGTATTTGTATCTGATCTTTTTATTGTTACTCAGCCACAGAAGATTTGCCTAGGGGCTAAAGGGTATCTCAATAGACTCAAACTTACATTGGTTTAGTTTTCCTAAATTAAAGGAAAACTAAACCAAGTTAATCGTGAGCATTAAAGTTTAATGCTCACGATTATGATAATGGTCATTCTGCCATACTCGCTTTCACATGAACGAAGTGAGGAAAGTTAAATAAAGCACCTTTCCCAAGGGCACAAGGTTGGTGACTTGACAGGATTTGAACCCGGGACCTCTTGGTTCTGAGTCGAATGCCCTGCCGTTATGCAGCACAACCCCACGACTGTCTATACATATTCATCATGTATAAAGTGTTCTCACCAGGCCTTTTGAGCATAGGGGCCCCCTATGCTGTGATTTGGATCCCTATGCTATCTTTCAAGCAGCATACGGGTGTTTTTTGGGGGGGAACCTTAATAAATCTTGCAAAAAATGAAAATTTAACTTTAGAATTTTAACTTTAGAACTTTAGGAAAAACCTTAACTTTACAAAATCTATCCTCCAATAAGTGATAAACAGTGTTTCAGGGGGTTGTGAGTTTCAAAATTTTTAGGCTCAATACACGACCTGCGCCGCGAAAGTTGCCCTTCTGTACCTGACCCCTATGCTGTGAAAAAATCCTGGCAAGAACCCTGAATTATTAAAACAAAAGACAACACCCACCCTGTGCTGGGCTTGTTGTCTCCAGTCTGGCCGTGGTTTGCGGCCAATCCTGCGCCGCTCGGCATCCCCACAGGTTTGGTCATCTGTTTAATGGGGCCGGCGTGGTTCGCCACACTCATACTGTTCATGCTCGTGGCTGCCATACTTTCACACTAGAAGGAAGTCTTGTCCACTAAGGCCCAGTCGGATAGTTTTAAAAAGATTGTGGCATGTAGGTTCCTTCCTGGGAACACAAAGTCTGAACAGTCTTGGCTTTGTATGAGTCTCTATCTCATGTGACGAGTCTTTGTGCTCAACTTTTGCTGCAATCTCGAATTGCAAATATAATATTTGAATATAATAATGATACAAAAAATCTGTTTGTCTTTATCAAAATCTGTGGTCCAAGTCTTTAAAATAGACTCATGAGTTTTCACTATTTAGTAAGTCCTCAAGTTGAATATCATCGCATCAGGAATTCCAAGGCAGAACGCGTTCACCATCTATCCGTGTTGGAAGGAAATTTGCCACCTGCAAGATGAAAATTATCATTATTAAATCGCTTGTTTGGGTCATGGGCAAATATGATAATTATGCAAAATTTCTGGCTGTATAAGATGGTTCTTCATTCATACAAGGACGACATTCTCAGTGTCATGAATTCATGGTGGAGATCACCGAAAAAAGCCTGAATAAAACCATGGCATTTAAGTTTCACGACTTAAGTTACAGTTTTACGGCATTTGCAAATTATGCGCACATCACATGAATACATGAAGGAAATTACTGTTCCAACCATGGCTGGACCACGGTAGCCTCTACCAGGCTTGGGGAGGCGGCTGGAAAGAGTAGAAATAGGCTAAAATAGAGAGATAAGCATGCCAAGGGAGTTTGTCCGTTGTGGGGCGGCGAACTGTTCTCTCAACGGACAAACTCCCTTGGCATGCTTATCTCTCTATTTTGGCCGATTTCTACTCTTTCCAGCCACCTCCACAAGCCTGGTAGAGGCTAGGACCACGGGAGGTTTAAATAGCCTGGGGGACCCGGCATGTGTATATGTAGGTTAACTTTGCTTCCAGTGGAGCATGATTGAAAATTCTGGGTCAGAAAACAACTCCTACTGGATTGGACTTAAAAATATAATTTAAAAATTAAATAGGATGAAACAATATTCACTGGCCTTGTACTAATACTGGATTATAGCTGTGTATAAGTTGATACCGTGGAACATGGCCACCTAAAATTATACATTTTATACCACAACTAAAGAAGCTACCTTACCTTACCTGCACAGGTTGGTTACTGTAAAAAGGACGTTAGTGTTAAGTATGATAAAAATAAACCTGGTCTAGAGACACACTTTGGAAACTCCCTGTCCCCCTAACGTCGAAAATCAGAAAATTATTGTCAAAAGAGTCTTCTTGCTAAAGTGCTATGTTGTCATTGTAATACAGTATACAGGAACAAATAATACAAATTTATGGAGTAGGTAAAATTTAAAAATAAGAGATACTTGACAAACAATACCAAAATTTGGTACCACCGCTTGACAGTCAGAGAAATTTTACTGGATTTGAGCCAACGGAAGGTCCGGTGTCTGGTCAAACTTGCACACGAAAAGGTGACGACATGAAAGACGAATTCGCCTGTGAGTGTGAAACTGGAAAAGCGGAACAGTATCGGATGACGTGAGGTAACCCCTCACAAAATCCCTCCAGATTCACACCAAAATTACAAGTCTGCGCAAAAATATGACTCCAACAAGAATATACAATCTCCGTACCGCATATAAAAGGCTACCTTAAGTCACCTGGACGTCAGATTATCAAACACAGCGATAGATTCAGTCAATGGAAATACTCACCTCCAACGTCCAATATGGCTGCTGCCTGAAAATATGGGGAAATCATAAATTATGCTAATTAGCTAGCGTAACGTTGCGTAGGGGTCCAGGTGCCGAAATTCCCGATCCCTGACTAATCAGTGACAAACGAAAGCGTTTAATTTTTGATGAGTAGTCAGAAAGATGCTGTGTTTATTTTATTTGAAAATTTTTAACCAAAAAAGCTGCATTTTTAAATTACTATCTAGTACGCATGCGCAATTAGCTTGTTTAGCTGACCCTCTGGCTGCGAAGTTTGGTCTGAGTTCGGGAACAAAACCATGGGAAGACCAGGTAAAACTTCCACTTTGTAGACAATTCTGACGCTAGAAACTTGTCCTGGTTTGCATTTTTGGTTGTGGTGTGAGTTAAATTGATTGGGGAGGGACAAAACGCGCTTGATGTAACCTGGTTTGGAGGGTAGGGCCGCAGCAAGGGGGAGGGGGGCGCACCAAACACGTGCGCGCACTACGCCGCACTGCAAGCCAAACACCAACAACTTTCTTCAGATCATACGCTGATGTATTATCAACAAATATTGCTAATAACTGTTATAATATTCCTGATCAGTTCCAACTGGTTGTTGTATGGACTTAATCTTAAATATATACTGTACCAGATAAAGTTTGTGATGTTTAAAACTTTAAATTGAATTCATCATCATCATAATTTCTCTTGTCCCACATGATTCGATCCAGACATATACATACCTTGATACCTTGATACGTCTTCCAGGAAAGAAGGCCGGGGCCTGTTATGTCCTGATCTCTGCTCACTCGGTTGCGTACCTTCGCTTCTCCCAGTGACTGTCAAGTCTGCTACACTATCTGTCTGCCTGTCTTTCCTTTAATGCCCACGATCATCATACTAATCATTCTGGCATGCCAGTTCTTGGCAAGACTCGCCTGAAGGTGACTTGTGTGAATGATAGGAACTTCAGTTATTTTATTTCCAGAGGCACCAATTTCTAAGTGTTTCTAACTTTTTTTATGAGAAATGAATAATTTCGGTGCACTTACTGTGAAATGTCGTGATCTTTGACTTTGTTGATGGTACAGCACGGTGCTGCACTTCAGTAGTTTTGACACGCCTTTCAATGCAAGATGAGACAAAAGTTGGTGTCACTAAACCCTAAAATGCAACAAAATCGATTCCAACGTCCGGATTCTGTATTCGAATTTTCGAAAGGGGCACAAGCGGATAGGGTGAAACGCGTTCGAATCGTTTTATGGAAGCCAGGGAAGCGTTCGATAACGGGTTCCGGACCGGGCAGTACCGTAAAGTACGGCCCGGTCCGGAACCCGTTATCGAACGTTATCGCGGCCCGGGTATGATATAATTAGTGCTGCATACCAGTTCACTGGACTTGGATCCGGACTTGTAAGAATGTTTAGGTTCAAGTCCAAAAAAACCTAAAAGTCAAAAACCGAGTCCGGACTTATTACCATAAAGACCATTTCACATACCCCTTTTCTTTCCAAACCACCTAAAACCTTCCGTAGATTGTAAAATCTTTGCTGCAAAATGAAGAAAATATTGCCAACGGGCATCGTCAAGTACCAGCCTCCATGTTATGTGGCCAAAGTTTCACCCAGACAACATTGCAAGGTTGCCAACACGCAATTTTGTATATGCCATGGGTTTAGGTCCGGACTTACAAAGTCCGGAACTGAACCTAAACCTTTGGACTTGAATCCGGACCTGAACCTAAAATTGGGTTTAGGTATGGAGCACTAGATATAATGTGTTGTTTTTCACTCCCAGGTTTCTCACCACGCGGAGGCGGCAGAGGTAAGATCATTGCAAACTTTTTTTATTCATAAATCTTATTTAAACTTAAATTACATAGAAAAAACATCATTCTAGAGCGGAGGTAGACATTGGTTTTGGGGACATGTTCGTAAATGGTTCAGTAGGAATACATCAGAAAGGACCCATTTGCAAGAGTCGTGGTGTCACAAATTGGAGGTAGAGAGGTTACTGAGAAAACTAAAACTACTGCAAATATTTCAAGATGTACAGTACATGGCAGATGCTCTGGTGTGCTGTTGGACATTTTACATTTTGCCTGTTACTGTTTAACTTACATGATGTCCCTTTTATCTTTTGTTCATCCCCTTTGTTTTATCTTCTGTTCTCCTGCAGGTTTTTCACCACGTGGGGGTGGCAGAGGAGGTAAGTGTTCAGTAACTTCACTGTTCTATTTATTAACATGTTTGAAATCATTATTATTGTAATCTATGTAATGTTACCTGTTGTCCCCATATGTAGAATTGTTGACTTGTAAGTCAGTGTAATGTACTGTTGCATTTGAAATCCTCAGTGACTTCTCTTCTCTTTCTTTCCAAAATTTCCTTGATGTACCATGACTGAACGGTGTTATTATCACATAAGAACACACAGCCATAATTCATCTTGCTCAGGAGTAAATATTATCATCATGGATAACAGTTATATTGTGAAAAAGAAAATTTCTCCGTTCCTGTTATTAAAGTTTCAAAGTTTCACCTCCCGTTTTGTTTGATTCCAGGATTTTCACCCCGGGGTGGTGGCTTCAGAGGTCAGTTCAGCTGATTTTGAATATATGAGAAGACTCTGGTTTGTATGGAAGAAAAAGCAGCTGTGAAGGAAATGGTTAATTTCTGTATCATAGTGAAGAGTCTGAGTTTGTGTACATTGTACTTCTATTGGGTGGTAACAATATCTGGGCTTTCATGTTAAATCAGCATTAAATTTCCTATACAATGTAAGCATATTAAAATCCTTATGATTGAAACTGCAGTGTTGTAATTCCATTAATAAAAGACAGGAACAACCCTGGAACTCTTATGTAGAAGTTAGTTACTCTTGGAGGGAATGAGCGGACTTGATTATGATTTATGATGAAAAAAGTACTCTTTAGATCTTTACTCTCGCAATTGTTGTTAGATTCTTAACATAAAATTGCCATTTTGTTTGTAACTTGTAGGTGGTGGCAGAGGAGGTGGGAGAGGAGGATTTGGTGATCGTGGAGGGAGAGGTAAATATTTGATGTACGATTAGACATAAACAAACAAACAACATTACTTAATTATAAACAAATGACAAATAACCTAGGTTTAAGTCACACATATTCAGCATATTTAGTGTTGAAACAGTGACTGATGTTATCTAGTGTAACCTGGTTTGTATCTGATGGTGCTCATTGTCAGTACAACTTGATACTTGATATTTTATCATAGATGACCAATTTTTTTCCTACACAGTCACCGGCAGATGTATACAGTCTTTCTTATCCAGCAGAAGTTTACCTGGTGTGTTTCAGTAATGATAGAAAGCCCGCACAGTTGGTTGATGACTTGAATGATGCAGACTCCTGTGTGACTGTTTTGTTTCTTTTGTCTGCAGGTGGATTTAGAGGCCGCGGCCGCGGTGGGGGCCGGGGTGGCAGAGGTAAATATGTTTTAAACCTTCTATGTAGTCTTTGAAGAACACAATTGTATATTTCATTGTTAGAATCACTCATCAGTCACTGGAACCCCTGATCTGCTGTACCACATCCTATTTTTCTAAAAAAAAAAACAGTTCTAAAACTAAAAGAACAGAAACAGTTCGTGTATGAAGCTGTATAATCAATCACCATATCCCAAACTCTTTTGCAAGCTACTGTAGTATAGCATAAATGTTCATCACAGAACAACACAGCCACGGCTCTGCACAGTACCTTCCTGCTGATATGTTAGACCATGTTTCTGATACATGTTTCTGATGAAGGTTAGACATCCAGGTAATACGATACGCCAAAAAGCAGTTACTCAAGCAACTGGATATGATTTTGAAAACGTCAGACGTTTCAGCTAGTATCCACTAGCTTTCGTCAGTGACTGGTCCAGTCACTGACTCCATACATCTTCTACACAATACTAAGCAACACCCCTCGTGGGGCCTGGTGCTTAGGATCCCACTCAAAATGCTACATTACCCCTAACGACTTGTGAACCAGTCACCACCAGTTAACCAAACATGTCTGTATCCCTCCAGGCGGAGGCAGAGGCGGCTTCGGTGGAGGGAGGAAGGTTATAGTGGAACCACACAGGCATGCAGGTAGGTAGCCTTACATGTGTGATTCTGGATACTTTATTGACTGGTCTACATCTATGACATTTAAGGATTTAAGAAATGGTCTTGATTTCCAGTGCAATAGCTCAATTGTGAAGAGTGCTCGCTTTGTAACTGGGAGGTTTTGAGTTCAAACCCCAGCTGGGTCATACCATATACTGCTTTCTTTGCTTAGCACTCAGAATCTATTAGAGAGTATGGGAAGGTCAAACACACAACACTACCAGTGGACTAGCCCCCTACCGTAGTGCTTGCACAACTGTGTGGCCCAAGGGCTACAGGAATGGAGATGGGCACCACCACTATGCTCCGCAAGGAGTGGAAAGGGACCTTCTCTCCTTGATTTCCAGATTTTTTCAAAGATCTCTAATTCTAAAGTCTGTCTAACTTTTTAAATCTAGCCGTTGTGCTTGTCTGTTCTGTGCAGGAGTGTTCAAGTTAACAATGTTATACACCCGTTGTGCTTGTCTGTTCTGTGCAGGAGTGTTCATTTCCCGAGGAAAGGAGGACTCTCTGGTCACTAAGAACATGGTGGTGGGAGAGTCCGTGTATGGGGAGAAGAGGATAACAGTCGAGGTAGGGTTTACAATACTAAGTACTGTAGTACATACTATACTGTTGTTTATGACCAGTTGTTGTGATGTTCTGCTGTTCAGTTCAGTTCATCCTTCAGGTGACACCATGTACTGTCTCCACAAGTTCCTGTCACACATGACAGAGGACACATGACAGTTCAGCACCGCCCAGACCTATGTCATCTGTACAGGAGTGTTAATGTTGGCATTGTATATTATTATTATATTATTATTACTATTCCCATTGTTGTGCTTGCCTGTTCTGTACAGGAGTGTTTATTTCCTGAGGGAAGGAGGACTCTCTGCTCATTAAGAACATGGTGGTATAAATAAATACAATACTGTGTCAAGTAAAGAAGCTTCCAGAAATGTAGAACTGCTCGGGCCAAGGAAAAAAAATGTTGTGTTTCCTGTTTCAGTCCAGAAAAAATTAGGGTCGGTAGGTAGGGATTATTCTTATTTTATTTTTATTTTTATTTTTTTTTAGACTTTGCTGATTGCTGTGTTTATATAAGCAGAACATGATGAAAAATCGATTGTGCAATATTATATTTCATCACTCAGGTACTCAGGTGTCAGATCATGGAGCTTTAAATGGTCGATCAGCTCGAAGAACTTAACAGATGTCCCTAGCCCTTGCAGGGCTAGGGCTAAATTCAGATTCAGGTCCTGATTCCAGTCTACAGGTTTTCAGGGTTCTCCCAGGGATTTGGGAAGAAAAAAAAGAATTCTAAAGAAAAAAAAATTAATCTGCACAAAATTTTAATTGGTTTCTATCCCTTTGTTTGCCTAAAAATCGATAGTGTGATTGTATCAATTTGAAACCCCAAAAAATTAGCTAAATCGGCGATTTAAGGTTATTGCGCAATGGACGTGCCCTATGACCTTCAACCTTTGGGGGTCATGCAGGCGTCAACAGCGCCCTCCCCCATGCCTTGCCAGTCCGTTTTCGTGGGCAAATTTCTGCTTTTTTAGAGGTTTTGCGACCTAAAAACTCACATCAGAGGAAAAATACACCACAGACGACATTTTCATGGTAAATATCGTTAATGGACCAGGCATTTTTCTGTCCCGTTGCCGATTTTGCTGATTTTCGCCAATGTGCTTATAATTTGTTTACGTCGATAGCTACCTTTCCTCGTCCGGTTTTATGGGCAAATTTCCGCTTTTTTAGACGTTTTGGGACTAAAAGACCGACAAAGGGGGAAAAATAAATCATATACATTATTTTTATGAGAAATACTGCTATCATGGACCAGACATTTTTCTTTCGCGTTGCCGAATTTTTGCGGCCGCCGCATGCTGATGGTGCAGTACGGTAGGGAATTTTCTACGATTAGTTCGTAAATGTATCGGCTTTTAAACTTATTTTCGGAGTCGATGGCTTTGTCTTACAAACAAATCAGACAAATTATTAGCGTTGTTTACACGACTTCAAAACGCTAGCGGGACGCCCGATGTTCCACCAATGGCAGCGATTCTCTCGGTAGCGTCGTGCAAAATGTTTTGGTTCAGCAATATGCAGGGGTCCACACAAAAATAAGGCTAGGGTCGGCGGTTTTTTTTAGGGTCGGTCGGGAAACAGGAAACACAACATTTATTTTCCTAGGCCTCAGTCTCTAATGTTGATGCAGTCAGAACTGCTTTAGCTGTTAGTTATATAAGCTATTGACAGTAGTTCCATCTCCCCTCTTACTTCCTGTTCCAGGAGGGAGAGACTAAGTTGGAGTACCGTGTGTACCAACAACCTCTACTGTCTTCAAGACTTCTTGTAGAATTTTCATTTTGAGTATGGGATACTTGTGGCATTGACTGTAGTTCCACTTCCTCTTTTCCAGGAGGGAGAGACCAAGTTGGAGTACCGTGTGTGGAACCCGTTCCGCTCGAAGCTGGCTGCCGCCATCCTGGGCGGGATCGATCAGATCCACATGGCGCCGGGGTCCAAGGTGCTGTACCTGGGCGCCGCGTCAGGAACAACGGTGTCTCACGTGTCGGACCTGGTCGGACCGGTAAGTACCAACAACCTCTGTTATTTATAATACAGTCTTGTGGAGATTTTATGTGGGGTATGGGATAGTTTGGATCCAAGGTGCTGTACCTGGGCGCCGCGTCGGGCACAACCGTCTCTCACGTGTCGGACCTGGTGGGACCGGTAAGTAACATTAACCAGCCTGGGTTCATGGATTAGCTCTGTATTGTCTACAAGAAAGCCTTCTGAGTATTTGTGTGGGGCACGAATAGTTGAGTGGCGTCGGAGGGCTGAATGGCTAGCCAAGTGGACGTGATTCCTGGCTGGGCATTGTATCCTTGGGAAAGGCACTTTACACAACTTTCCTCACTCCATGCAGGTGTCAAATGGGTACCTGACTTTGGTTGGGGAGGTAAAAGGCAGTGGAAGGAGAGGGATGGGCTCTGCCTTCTAATACCGTGCCCTAGACACAGTGGGACTAACAACCCATTGCCTCTACAGCCTCAAAAACGCTCACTACGACTATACCTTTTTGAGATGGAGCAGATGTTACCAAGGAACACCTCAGACATGTGACTCTGAGTTGTTCATGTGTGTTTTCAGGAAGGGCTGGTGTACGCTGTCGAGTTCTCCCACAGGTCCGGCAGAGACCTGCTCAACGTCGCCAAGAAGAGAACAAACATCATTCCAATCATAGAGGACGCCAGACACCCGCACAAGTACAGGATGCTAGTCGGTAAGTCCCTGCACAAGTGCAGGATGCTAGTCGGTAGGTCCCAGACACAAGTACAGGATGCTAGTCGCTAGGTCCCAGACACAAGTACAGGATGCTAGTCGGTAGGTTCCCGCACAAGTACAGGATGCTAGTCGGTAGGTTCCCGCACAAGTACAGGATGCTAGTCGGTAGGTCTTAGACACAAGTACAGGATGCTAGTCGGTAGGCACCAGACACAAGTACAGGATGCTAGTCGGTAGGTCCCAGACACAAGTACAGGATGCTAGTCGGTAGGTTCCCGCACAAGTACAGGATGCTAGTCGCTAGGTTCCCGCACAAGTACAGGATGCTAGTCGGTAGGTCCCAGACACAAGTACAGGATGCTAGTCGCTAGGTTCCCACATAAGTACAGGATGCTAGTCGGTAGGTCCCTGCACAAGTATAGGATGCTAGTCGCTAGGTCCCAGACACAAGTACAGGATGCTAGTTGCTAGGTACCAGACACAAGTACAGGATTCTAGTCGCTAGGTCCCAGACACAAGTACAGGATGCTAGTCGCTAGGTCCCAGACACAAGTACAGGATGCTAGTCGGTAGGTACCAGACACAAGTACAGGATGCTAGTCGCTAGGTTCCCACACAAGTACAGGATGCTAGTCGGTAGGTCCCAGACACAAGTACAGGATGCTAGTCGGTAGGTAACAGACACAAGTACAGGATGCCAGTCGGTAGGTAACAGACATAAGTACAGGATGCTAGTCGGTAGGTTCCCGCACAAGTACAGGATGCTAGTCGGTAGGTCCCAGACACAAGTACAGGATGCTAGTCGGTAGGTTCCAGACACCCGCACAAGTACAGGATGCTAGTTGCTAGGTACCAGACACAAGTACAGGATGCTAGTCGGTAGGTCCCAGACACAAGTACAGGATGCTAGTCGCTAGGTAACAGACACCGGCACAAGTACAGGTGTTAAAGTGCATCTTTANCACAAACAGATATTCTATTAATTGATTGTGTA